AAATAGTCAAAACAATCTTGAAAGAAGAATAAATTTGGAAAACTCACACTTCCTGCTAACTATAAAGCTGCAGTAATTAAAACGGTGTGTTACTGGTTTAAGGAAAGATACATATATCAGTGGAATAGGATTGAGATTTTAGAAGTAAATATATACTTTCAATTTTTTTGGATTGATTTTTGCTATAGGGCACGTGTGCTCACCAGAAAGATAGAGACAGAAAGCAAGAAATCGCCCCCCAGGGGGGATGGCCACGCCACAATCCCTTCTCCTCCATTCTCCTCTTGGGATCTTGGGCATGCACGCACATGCACCCAGCGTGAGTTTAAGCCACCGGGTCTGGGTCTTGAACCACAGTCAACTACATGGGAGTCCAGTGACATAGTCATTACACCAACTGCTGGTCCCAGTAAATGCATACATCTATGGACAACAATCTTGACCATGTGCCAAGTCCATTCAGCAGGGGAAAGAACAAGCTCTTCAGCAGATGGTGCTGGGACAACTGGGCTTACACATGCAGAACAGGGGAGCTGTCGCCTATCCCAAGCCCTACACAAAATCAATACAAAGTGTATCAAGGACTCAAGTTCAAGAGCCAAACCTACAAAAATATTAGAAACAAACGTAAACAAAAATCTTCAAGATTTTGGATTGGGAACCAATTCTCAGGTATGACATCAAAAGCTTGAGCAGTAAGAGAAAAAGAATATAAATTGAAAATAATCAAAATTTAAAACTCCTGTGAATCAAAGGATATGATTTTACTTTTTCATTTATTTACTTTCAGAAAGTGGGGGATGGGGGGGTGAGCTTCTGGAATAAAGGAAGACCACTGTTCAATGACATCAAGATCTAAACCACCCTACTCATCCCCACCTCCAACCCCCTGAAAATGAACTTCTCAAGCTATACAAAGCCTCAAGCACTCTGAGCTACAGATGAGACAGTGAGACAGGAGCATGGCCCTATCTGCAGGTGTACAAGGCAGGGGTCCATGAGCAGACAATGCTGTGCAGCGTATGCTCGCCAAGGGAGCCTTGGTGCTGAGTGGCCTCGGACGGATTAACACTCCCTTCTCCTCTTGCGCTGTTTATTTTTCTTCTGCTCTCCCAGTCACCATACCCTTTGCCCTTAAAACACATAAATCTTCTTTTTAAAGAATTTATGGCCCCTTGCTACGGGACTTAATACAAAAAACAAAAGGCCAATTGACACAGTCCAGAGCACAAATAATGTCAAGGTGTAAATCACAAAGACCAGGGGGGGCCAAGACTCCTTAACGCTGCCAGGGGAGCACATTCCAAGATATGGGTCACCAGGCCCTCAGCGTTAACTGAGAGAATGACCTTTTCCAATTTAACTCAGAAGAAACCAGTTTCCAAGTAGTCACCATGTTATACTTGGCATACAATTTGTAACCTTGCTTGTTATTGTCTTAAGTGTGTTATATTTCTATTGGGGAGTCAAGCCAAAATGACTTGGCCATAACCCAAAGACTGTTCATCCGGTTAAGGCACATCACCCAGGATGGCTGCCTATCTCAGAATGACATCAAAGACCAAATGGTACTGACAGGACCATCTGGGCACGGTAGGGCCACAGAAGGCCACTCTCCTTGCCAACCACGAGACTGCAGAAACCGCCTGTAACAGCCCCAGACTTTGAGCAGCTCATCAGCTCTGTCTTCCGCTTCGGTCAGATCCCATCTCACTGCACCTGAGACCTCACTTACTGCTGGAGGCTCTGCTGGTTCGCACACCAACTCTTCCTCTCCCAGATGGTCCTCCACTCCACCATCTCTGATGCTCCTCGGCGGCCACGAGTCCCGACCTCTGTACCTCTGGTGACCCATATCTTGGAATGTGCTCCCCTGGCAGCGTTAAGGAGTCTTGGCCCCCCCTGGTCTTTGTGATTTACACCTCTGTACCAGGCGTTCACCCTCAGCCACCCGACGCTCGGTCAGCTCATGGCAGCTGCCACCATCGCTCTCTAAGATCTTCATGGAGCTCCTCTCTGGCTCACTGATTGTGCCTTGTAGACGCCCAGCGTGCTCAGCACCCAGCCTCCTCTGCATCCTGATGGGCTGCACTCCCCATGGCCGCACCAGTATAGGACGCCCTGCACCTCGCGTCTCTTCGTGACTTGTAAGCCCCCGTTTTCCCTGTGTGATTAAAGCAACCTGAAAGACAAACCTGAGTCCTGTCCTCCTTCCACCTTGAGCACAGACGCTGTATCTACTTGGGCAGCTGGTAAGAGTGAATCAGATCTCTATTTAAGGTCGTGCTCCCTTGGCACTAATTATTCCCTTCATTGTTTTGCCACACAACACACCATTACATGGGCTGTCATGACTATACGCCCACCCTAAGACAGAGCATAACCTATGGGACACGTGACCCCTATCAGGAGAGAAACATGCACTCACCTCTCCCAGCTGGGATATAGACCTGAGACCCAAACTGTCCAGAAGCAAACCATTTTCCCAGATCCCTTCCTTCTTGGGAGCTCGTTCCCTCCTTCACTCCCTTAATAAACTCCACTTGGCTAGTCCTTCCTAGGTCGACCTCTGATTTGTCTTGAGCGTGCTACAGGAAGCCAATCAGCTTGCTGCTCTGGATATGCACTGGTGTCGGACCTGATCACCCCAACCTCCCGTCAATGGACAGAGCACACACATAGTTAAGGAACAGGCCTTCATACGGGTCCAGTCCTCCTTAGGAATCACTCACTGGAGACTGTCTGCACACTTTCCTTAGAATCATTCACCAGAGGGCCATGGCCAGCAGGTGGCCTGGGTTAAGGCAGCAGGAGTCCCACATGGATGACCATGGTTGGAGTCCTGGACCTGGCAGCTTGAAAATCACAATAGATAAATAGATAAAACGTTAAAAAAAAAAAAAGTCATTCACCAGAGACTGCGCAGCTTGCTTTTATACAAGGAACTGCTTGCAGCTCAGCTTAAAACGGTGGGCAAGGTGACTTACAACAATTACTGCAATCGTGGCTTTTTCCATGACCCTACATTTCAGAAACTCAGATAATGGTCTCTAGGGCCCAAGGCTCTCAAGGACTCGAGTCGTCACTGACCAATAGAAGGTCTCTGAAACCTAAAACTCTGGAAGACCTGAGCAACCATTAACCACCACTCTTCTGAAAGGATAACCTGTCGCGCATGTAACCCCACGAGGACGAAGCAGTCAAGTCCCTCCTAGCTAGGATTAAGCCTCCTGACGAGAGCACCAAAGCGGCTGCCCACTTTCGGGACCCCTCCCATTACCGATGAGCTTGGCTTTGCTGCCCCTCTGTCCGCGCTTCTGCTGTAACACGAAGACGCCTGAACTAGGCTCTAAGAACTGCAGTGCCCTCGTCAACAGGACAGTGTTCTTACACGGGAAAGCGATCCGGGATTCGACACGAAGAACTCCGTTAGGGACTGCACGGTCCGGACCCGACATCCTGCACACTCGCTACATCAGACGGCGGGTTAGTTCCCTCGACTTTGCCCTGCGGACGCAGAGCGGCTCCACTCCTGCGGCAGCGGAGGCCGAACCCGAAACACCGCCTGCGGGGAGGCGAGAGCGCGGCGGGGCAGACGCGGGCCCGGGGGCCCACCCCCGGGCCCGGGCTACAGGAAGCCAATCAGCTTGCTGCTCTGGATATGCACTGGTGTCGGACCTGATCACCCCAACCTCCCGTCAATGGACAGAGCACACACATAGTTAAGGAACAGGCCTTCATACGGGTCCAGTCCTCCTTAGGAATCACTCACTGGAGACTGTCTGCACACTTTCCTTAGAATCATTCACCAGAGGGCCATGGCCAGCAGGTGGCCTGGGTTAAGGCAGCAGGAGTCCCACATGGATGACCATGGTTGGAGTCCTGGACCTGGCAGCTTGAAAATCACAATAGATAAATAGATAAAACGTTAAAAAAAAAAAAAGTCATTCACCAGAGACTGCGCAGCTTGCTTTTATACAAGGAACTGCTTGCAGCTCAGCTTAAAACGGTGGGCAAGGTGACTTACAACAATTACTGCAATCGTGGCTTTTTCCATGACCCTACATTTCAGAAACTCAGATAATGGTCTCTAGGGCCCAAGGCTCTCAAGGACTCGAGTCGTCACTGACCAATAGAAGGTCTCTGAAACCTAAAACTCTGGAAGACCTGAGCAACCATTAACCACCACTCTTCTGAAAGGATAACCTGTCGCGCATGTAACCCCACGAGGACGAAGCAGTCAAGTCCCTCCTAGCTAGGATTAAGCCTCCTGACGAGAGCACCAAAGCGGCTGCCCACTTTCGGGACCCCTCCCATTACCGATGAGCTTGGCTTTGCTGCCCCTCTGTCCGCGCTTCTGCTGTAACACGAAGACGCCTGAACTAGGCTCTAAGAACTGCAGTGCCCTCGTCAACAGGACAGTGTTCTTACACGGGAAAGCGATCCGGGATTCGACACGAAGAACTCCGTTAGGGACTGCACGGTCCGGACCCGACATCCTGCACACTCGCTACATCAGACGGCGGGTTAGTTCCCTCGACTTTGCCCTGCGGACGCAGAGCGGCTCCACTCCTGCGGCAGCGGAGGCCGAACCCGAAACACCGCCTGCGGGGAGGCGAGAGCGCGGCGGGACAGACGCGGCTCCGGGGCCCACTCCGCGGCCTGGGCGCCTGCAGGTCTGAGGAGCCGCACGACAGTCACCAGGGTGAGGAACCGGGGAGGCTGGGCGGCACGTTACCCGAAGTGTGCAGAGGAAAAGCGGACGCCCTACACCGGGACCTCGAACCTAAGAACCAGGGTAGGTCTGGAAAGGACAATCTGTATTCCCGCGCTGCCCGGCGCCCGGCTGCACGCAGCGGGCACGGAAAGATGACGTCAGCACGGCGCCAAAGCCCTCGCCACGCCTCCGGATGGTGCCCGCCACCCCTCAGGATCC